TAATGGGCGATGACTCAACCTCGGAGAAGGCAGAAATGAAGAAGTGAAATAAAATAAAGAAACAGCTCACATCCAAACTCACACACACCTGAGCTCGGGGGCTCTGGGCTCTGCACACCTGAGAAACGAGAAATGCATGCAGGTGTCAATCGCCGGCCGAAGAATGGTCAGCACTGCGGCAGAGCAGCAGCAGCATTCCGAAAAAATACAGAAAAATGTATAAAAAGCATCGGAAAAGAAAAGAAACCCGAACGCAGGCAGACGCATTACAAATTCACACCAAGTGGCACCCACAGCCGCAGCAGAGTCAGATGCATCCGCAGGGTAGCTGACGAGGAGGGGAAATGGTTAATCATTTAGGTATAAATCTCGATCGCGTCTTTGTCCGACATTGCCCGTGGGCCCGCAACCCAGCAATCCAGCAATCCAGTAGCCATTAACGTCCTTGTCGGTCGGTAACTTTACACTGGTGAGGAAAGATCTGGGAGCTGGGGAGGATGTATTCTAGGTCGAGGGTAAATTCCTCTAATTGCCAGCCAATCATTAACAGAAAGAGGTGGAAACTGTAGGTCTCAAATTGATTCTTCGGGATCTGAGCTAAGCTAATATCTCACCTCTTTAAGTTCTTTGGGTTTAAAATCAAGTCATATCTCCATTTCGAAATATTAATAAAAAATATTTAATAACACTTTATAAAATCCAAGACATAGTGCCTTGCTAGATAACCATTCCCCTCTTCGTACTCCCCCGCCACTTCATGCAAATGAGGTGCATGCCTCCAGCTCGGAATAGCTGCACAGAGCTCCTCCATGGAGCGAGAATGGAGATAGAAGATAGAAGATCAGGGCCAAGAAAGAGCTCTCAAAGAGCGGCGACAAAAATTCCAAGAACCGAGCGCGTCAATTGATTTACTCAGCTGTGCGACGGTCGTTGGTTGATAAGTCTGAGATTTGTTATATTTGCTTCATCATCGCGCCACAAACGAGGCAGTTGAAGACGCAGTTGGAAGTGGAAATGGGTAGAGATGGAGAGCCCCAAGGAACGGGCGATCTTCATGATCGTCGTCGTCGTCGTCATGATCTCCGGCCACCGCACACATGTGCGCACATTAAAAAGCAAGTTTCTCAGGTGTTTAAAAGCGTTTAAAAAGAAAACAGACAGAGGCAGAGGCAGAGGCAGAGGCAGCGGGGGACGAGGATCCCAACGAGACAACAATAAACGCAGCCGCGTCCGACTCCAAAGGAGGGTTAAAAATACTCGAACTCGTACTGGTACTATTCCAAGAGCCAAGAGCTAAGAGCCAACAACCAACAGCCAAGATCCAAGAGCCAGTTAAAGCCATGATCATGATCTCGCGACTTGCGAGCCATGGAAACCGCGGACGGACAGCTGGCGACGCCAACAACATCTACAATGGGGGGAGTTCAAATAAAGAACTATCTTAAGTTAGGAAATAAGTAAAAGAAATCAAAATTAATATTAAGATATGTTTAGTTTACAACAATTACTGCTAAAAGATGAACTCAAATTACGTTTTAAGGGGCTTTTACTAGCTTGCATTTCATAAACCTTTACCCCAAACTATTGCCCAAAAGAGACCCCAATTAAGCGCACTATTTGCGTGACCCCAACTGTGAGACGCCAGCGACGACGAGCACGTGAAGGTTGCCCAGCCGTTGGCCAAGTTGGAGATTTACTTAACGAAATCAAGAGGAAGCGCGTAGGATCGCAGATGTGGCTGTGGCTGGGGCAGGGTTTGAGGATGAGGAGGGGCTGTGTAGACGGGCTGGGAGGGGGCAGTTAACCTAGCTGTCATACAGCATTGATTGCTCCGAGGCAATGGCAACACAAAGGCCCCACTGACTCCGCTTGATTGCTTGCCGCAGCAATGGAAAATGTAGAAAAGGTACACAGAGTAGAGGGACCTGAGGCGGGGGCCTATGACGAGGGCGGTACATTTTTGGACCGCGCACCAGTGACTCAGCATCTACACACTTGGTTTTTGTGTGTTAACGATGCCCGATGCTGGCCGGGGGCTCAGCCAAATGTTAAGTGCATGTTTTGATTGGTTTGTGGCGGCCCAAACGGATCGAGATTATGGCCCATTGAGTGTGCTCGTATGGAAGCCAAGTCCGAATGAAGCTGCCTTTCCCAGGGGATCCGAATCATCCAGCCAGCGAGGATAATGTGCAACCTTATGTGCATAATCTTCTTAAGAGGTGTCGCAGGCATTTATTATAGTTAAGGCGAGAGTACGTCCTGGCCAGCCAACCTCAAAAGCCAAATTAATGACGAGGCTTAATTATAGACCTGCAAATCTGGCTGTGAGGTTCTGGGGAATGTGTGTAATGTGCCACTCAGAGGTGTAAGGCAAGAAAGAAGTACTTCATTTAGAACATGGCAAAGTCAATCATAAGTTGAGTTTTAACCCAATCAGTAACAGTTTTCAGTCTTTAATTACTGGTTAGATACGCTTTATTGATGGATATCTTCTCGCAACTATCCTGATATATTCCTGGAAAGTAGGCAGGTAGGCTTCCTGAGTTAGTTTCTAAGCCATAAATTGCTGGCCAAATGTTGCTCAATCCCTTTGTCTGTCGTCCCCCAGTATTACCATAAAGCCATTGAACATCTGCAACGTTTATGGCCTCAGCACCTGTTGGCCATGCGAAACTAGGCAGGAAAGGTGTTAGAGAGGTGGGGTTTTTAGGCGGAATGCGAAACCCTTTCATACCTCCGAGTGATGAATTAAGCGAATTCTGGAAATTCCGCAACCTGGCAGCCATCAGCGGTGGCTCTACGAAATGAGGATGCAAGGCATTAACAATGGCCTGCGAGAATTAACACCTGTGTGCCAGAATGCACTCTCTCATGGAAATCTCTACAAATATTTGACGTGAGCTGAATTGAGGGAAATTTGCATTTGCCGTCGCGGCGGCGAAAGAACAAAAGGCCAACAGGTAAATGCACTTCTCCAGGCCACATCTTGCCGCATCATTAACACGTCGAAGGAGAGGTGCGAAAATCCATCACCGATTCGGTTATCTCCATTGTTCATTTGTCTTTTTGTCTTACGGTCTTACGGTCTTCTGGCCTGGTTCGGAAAGTGCGGCCAAGAGCGAATGGAAATTGAATTTGGAATGTTCGGCAGCGTGGAATTCAATGCACTGGCCATGGGCACGTTCGAGTGACAAATGTCAATTTGCATTCGATTTGCAAATGTTTCTTTTGGCTGCCGTTAATTGCGCCCCGCCCCCTCTATAGCCCCTTCCCCCTATACCACCCGCCAGCCGCCCAACTGCCCAACTGTTTCCAATCACTGGATTCGTAACTGCCACTGTGGGCTCGACGGCGTTCAAGCTCAAGAACACACCTTAAACTGTTTTTCAGTTCGCTTAGCACACTGGCAGAAATCATGGCTTACGAGTTTAGTTTAAACTAATCTTAGTTAGTGCAAAGGTAAGCTGAGAGTAAGGAAAGGTAGAAACTTTATCCTTCATTCAAGACATAATCAATTTCCTTATGATTCTGCTGGCTACCTAAGAATCTTTTTCCCCAGTGGACTGGTAACCTCTGTGGCTGGCTGCTATTGAAATTGGAATTCATGGGGCAGGCCAAGAGCCAACAACCAGCAAGCAGCCACCAAGGGGCGAAGCCAATAGCCATGCCCATGCCCCAACTGCCAACTGGCTGCAACAAGTTCAAACACATGACGTCGTCGAGGCAACAGCAACAGCAAAAGCAAAAGCAAAAGCCACCGAGGCGATTGTTGTCGCCTCTCCCCCAGGGTCTCCCCGCTCGTAACCCCGATCTCTGGAGGCTCCAGCCTCGGTTCAATGTCAATTTCGATTCGTCATCCGCAGCTGCGTTGATTTCTCGAGCGACCTATTCCCCTCCTCTGTTTGCCTTAGCAGCCGAGTTCTTTTTTTTTTATGGTCATGTTAAGTTTGGACTTGGCTTTTAACACACGGACAAGCGGACAGACCAGATCGACGGACGGACGGACGGACGGACAGAGAAGCAGGACCACCATCGTCGATGGGGTTCATTCTAGTGTGCAGTAATTTATTGAGGCGACGGTTGCCCGGTTAAACGCGGACATGTGTGGGCAGCCGGAGGCGAGATTACGTCGGATGCCCTTGCATCTGCATCTGCATCTGCAGCTGGCAGCCAGGCAGAAAGCTGAGGCTGAAGCTCAAGTCGAAGCTGCAGAATCCACTCGAACGCCCACGCGATTGTCACTGTCTTCTTGGGCTTGCCTGGCAGGGCAAGAGCAGCTGAAAGTAAACTTAATAAGAGGCTGAGGGCTCTAAAGTTGCACGGATTTGATGTTGCAAGATGTTGCAAGTAATAAATAATAATCGAATTTATATAGCACACTTTAATTAATTAACAAATAATTTAAACCACATTCCTAATCACTCCTAGTTAGTCAAAGTTGGGTTACTCTTCAGCTGGGTTATTATGATCTTCAACACCTGATTTATGTGCTTTAACTTCTGAATCTCGGCCTGCTCCTGCTCAGGTGTCATGGCTTGTCCATCGTTCAAGAAGGGACTGTATACCAGTTCCAAGGGAAATCCTATTGTGGGTGGAGCACTGTTCGGGGGAAGGCTCTGCCAGTCCTGCATCAGTGCCTCTGGGTTACCCATCATGTCAACTTCATCGCTCGTCGGGGGCAGCTCTACTCTAATGGCCATTTCGCTAAACAATTTTCCTAGGGGGTAGTGATTTCCTCAATCTCCCTTCTATGTTCAAGGAAATCCTTTTAACATACTTACAAGTCAAGGTACTTCGATGGGGGTCAACAAAAAGTATTTCGAAAGTATTTTTCCGGAATGGCAATCCAAAAACGGACTACTTCTCAGCAAAAGTGCCCTGGAATTGCAGAATCGTTCCGATTTGACCAGCTTTTCCAGTGTAGCTTGGATACTTATTAGTATCATGATTACCCTGATGAACCAAAAAAATAAAACCCCAAATGAAAGACTTCGTAAGAATACTTTTGTAAAACCGTCTTCTTATTAGCATGCAAAGTCAAAATTCAAAATAATTTCAGCGATTGGCGGCCACGGTGCACCGGACATGCGCACAGTGGGCCCTCGTTGTCAGTTCCTATACATTGTTACGTATACATTTCTCTCTCGCTCAGCTCAATCCTCGATTCAGCTCCAATTTGTGGAACTGGTGCTCACTTGCGCCTGATCCAAGGCCATTTGCTGTTGGTTCAACAACATTTGCGAGGGCTGCTGCTGCTGTGGCTGCTGCTTTTGCTGTTGCTGCTGCTGCTGCTGATGCAGTTGCTGCAGCTGCTGCGATTGCGATTGCGGCTGCATTGGCGGCTGCTGCATTGTCTGCAGCAGAAGTTCCCCCATCTTGGCCCTAAAGAACACATTCTGGATGGGCGTCATTTGCTTCATCATCGGCAGAAAGCTGACGAGGTAGTTGTAGTCAGAATCGCCCACATGGAGGACGCTCTTGCTTCTGGCCAAGTCCTGGCTGGTGGACTGCATCAGCTGCTGCTCCTCGCGCTCTAGGTTTTCCAGGAAGTTAACCTGTTCATCCACCCTCTTTGCACAATGGCAACTGTTGGCTGCCGCGGCAGCCAAGGCACTTCCATGGGTTAAATTCGGATTTATGGATATTCCGGGCCCAATTTTGAGGCCACTTTGGGGCAACTGCTCCTCCGCCGCCGCACTGGCCAAAGAGATGTTCTCGGAGAGCTGGCGTAACGCCTGCGGGGTGGACACATTCTGGAATTCCCGCATCAGGGCATCGTTATCCGCCTCCATTTCGTCGGAAGCCGAGGTGTTTTCTCTCTTGAAGTTTGGCATTATGATTAAGGGCTCTCTTCTCAGAGAACTGTCCATCTCCTCCTCCTCGTTATTGCTACTATCCCTGTCCTCCTTCAGTATTCGCTGACCATCGAGAAAAGTCATGGCCTCCGCATATGTCCACTGGTGACCCGGCGTGGGCGACTGATGGAGGCTCAAGTTGCCGCTTCGCCTGTGTTTGCGACGATAACTGCAACGCAGATTTTTCCACTTGCTGCGACAGACATCAACTGAAACGTCAGAGAGGCAGAAATATGATTAAAGAAAGAGAGCGAGAACGAGGTACTCATCGTACACTGAACAAGATTTGGGTGGACTTTACTAATAACTATTACTTTTTGGGCGGAAAATCTGGATAGACCGATTTGAGCATTTTTTGAAGATTTTTCGAAAGATCTTGAAAAATGTACTTTTTGAGGTGAGTATACAGTTCGAAGGGGAATTAATTTACGAACTCAACGAGGTACGACACTAGTTATTCTGACGATTTTTGGCGTTGTTTTGGGAAATACCCTGATATATTAAGCATAACATCCAAATAATGACTTTTGAGCACAAATCGCGGTATTTTTAGCAGTATTATGCTTATAACTCTGTCAAAATAAGACTCACAGCTATAAGGACGAATGTTTTGTGCAGCTTACGACCTAAGCAAACTTTTTATGTGATTGTAGAGATGATTTTCGGAAATTAAATTTTTTGTGAAATTTGACTTTTTTGATTTTTTCGAAAAATTGAAAAAATATTTTTTTCCTCAGATTTGAATGGGACTTCAATATTTTGAAAATAGATTGAAAAACAAGCCTAACGACATATGGCATTACAGATCATTTTTGGCTTTGTAATGAAGAAAATACTGATATTTCGAGCCTCAAATCGCTTTTCGCGTTTTTTGAACATCATAAAAATTTGCGAAAAATCTAAAAAAAATCAATTTTTCAGCCTGGTACACCGTTCGACGGGGAATTTAAATACGAACTCAGTGAGGTATGACATTCCATGTCACGACTATTTTTGGCTCTGTAATGAGGAAAATACTGATATTTTGGGCTGAAAATCAAAATTGTGACTTTTTAGTAAAATTTTCAATACTTTTCCCCAGTATTATGTTTATAACTTTGTCAAATTAAGAGCTACAAACAAAAGGAAACTGTTTTTTTGCAGCTAACGTCCCCAGAAAACTTTTTATCTGGGTATGAAGATGATTTTCGGAAAATAATTTTTTTGTGAAATTTCACTTTTTTGTAAGGGGTACCATCATCTTTTTTTCGAAAAATTGAAAAAATATTTTTTCCTTCAGATTTGAATAGGACTTCAATATTTTGAAAATATATTGAAAAACAAGCCTAACGACATATGGCATTCCATATTCCGACCATTTTTGGCTTTTTTATAGACAAAATACTGATATTTTGAGCCTCAAATCGGGATAAACCACTTTTTCGTTTTTTGAACATCATAAAAATTTACGAAAAATCTCAAATAAATCACTTTTTGAGTGTGATATACAGTTCGACGGGGAATTTAAATACGAACTGAACGAGGTATAACACTCTATGTTATAATCATTTTTGGCTCTGTAATGAGGGAAATACTGATATTTTGGGCTGAAAATCAAAATTGTGACTTTTGAGTAAAATTTGCGACATTTTCCCCCAGTGTTATGCTTATAACTTTGTCAAAAGAAGTCGCAGAACCAAAAGGAATACTGTTTTGTGCAGCTAACGACCCAAGCAAACTTTCTATGTGGTTGTGGTGATAATTTTTTGTCCAATTTGACTTTTTTGTAAGAGGTACCATCATCTTTTTTTCCAAAAATTGATAAAATATTTTTTTCTTCAGATTTAAATGGGACTTAAATATGTTGATAATAGATTGAAAAACAAGCTCAACGCGATATAACATTCCGTGATATGATCATTTTTGGCTTTGCAATGAGGATAATACAGATATTTTGAGACACAAATCGGGACAGACCGATTTTCGCATTTAATATATGTAAATAATGTAATATCGTATTGAAATTTCTCACAGTGCACTCACCACCGAGTCCAACGGCCTCAGCCACCGCGTTCCAGAGGCGCTGCGTCTCCGGGCGGTTGGCGTGGTCTGGGTGCGCCGAGTCCCAGAGAGCGGGACGCCGCCTCACCTCGTAGATCAGCCCGTGCATGTCCATGTGCTTGGGTCTTTATCGGCAAACTGAGCGAACTGAGCCTTTGGCATGCAAAGAGTCAAGTGCTGGCGTGCAGGAGAGCCTCTCTCGGCGTGTTCCTCTCCATTGCGAATTCTCTCGCAGAATGTGGAGAAGGGAAGTGTGCTCAACTCAGTGCCCATGACGGTGAAACGGTTTTTGTTTTGTTTTCGTTCCACAGACTGAGGTGGAAGATAAAACTTCAGATAAGAAAAAGCTCATCACAGATATGGCAGAAAATTAAATGATGTCTTTTGATATGCCACTCAATATCTTCTTAAAGTGAGATGCTATCAAATGATAACAGTATCCGTGACAGGTGTATTTCTAATCGTGAAAAGGATTTTTACAGGGCATTTGCTAAGTCCTCTATCATTTAATAGAATTACCTCTCTCTGGAACGCCGTTACTCGGCCATTTCATTTGTTTGCTTTGCTCTCAGTTCTCCCAGGCTGTTGTTTTTGCTCTGCCAGACATTGAACTTGATGGCACAGTGGGGCGGAGTGCATGGAAAACGCGTGCGATATGGAGAACATGTGCTGGAGTCGATAGCCGGCAAAGTGACTTCCTATCGGGGGATGTTCCAAATATTTGCACAGCCGGGTCTGCCAGTTGCAAGTTGCAACATGTTGCCGCTAACGTTGCCGTTGCCATTGCCGTTGCCATAATCCGAAAAGGCAGCCGGCCAAAAGCCGGCAGCAACACATGTTGCGGCTGTGTCTGCAATGTTGCTGCTGCTGCTGCTGCCGGGTCGGCGACAACAAGTGGACGTGGAGGATATGCGACAGCAATTATCTCTGGCTATAGCCCCTATACGAGGTGTGTTCAAAAAGTAAGGTGACTCTTCAAATTTCGCGAATTTCAAATTTTTCGAATATCGAAACCTTTTAGAAGTTATACGAGGTGTGTTCAAAAAGTAAGGTGACTTTTCAAATTTCAAATTTTTCAAATTTTTCGATTATCTTCAGTTTTGGGAACAAGAAAAAGTCACATGGGGCCAAATCCGGTGAATATGGTGGCTGAGGCATTATTGTGGTGTTGTTTTTGGCCAAAAAATCCAAATCCTTTGATCCATATTTTTCGATAGCAAAAAATCGCCGAGCTCGCAAAATAACTTGTAACTTTACGCCTCTCACAACCAAACAAAAGAGGATGTTCCATTGAAACTTGGTACAGATGTTAGGGAAGAGTGTACCAATATAACAAAACAAAAAAATCGATAATCGAAAAATTTGAAATTCGCGAAATTTGAAGAGTCACCTTACTTTTTGAACACACCTCGTATAGTAATATAGCCTATATAGCATATCCATATGCTGTCGCCTGGTCGGATTTGCGCACGACTTTCGCTTGCCATTCCAGGCCATTGTTGCTGCTGCTGTTGCTGCTGTGTGCCTCATGTTGCTGTTGTCATCAGTTGCAGCTGCTGTCAATCTGTTGGCCGCTCGCTTTTGAAAAGGCAAAACAACGAAAATTTCCATGTGTCATTTCAGAAATGCAAATATGGACATGATCTGGTGCCCTGGCTATCGGCTTCCAGCTCCCAGCTCTCGGATGTTGTTGCTCCTGCAAAGTCTTCCACATGTCCAGCGTGTCAGGCGATCAAACCCCGACTGACAGCCAAGTGACGTCTAAATTTTGTTCAACGAAATGATTATAAAGGCATTTATGCATGCGTAGTGACCAGTCAGAACGGAGAACGGCGGTCGCTGCCTAGCTACTGTGGAATCTGAACTGCACTCAGGGAAAAGTTTGTACTTTGTATTGCCTACAATGCGAGAAAATGCACTGAAAGTTTACCAGATCTCACTTTGGAATTCCAAAGCCATAAGCATTTCCTTACTTTTTATGCCATTAAGACTTGGAAACTTCAAGTTCCTGGAAATACCTTCTGGAACTTCAAAGATAGTCACATCTTGAGAACCAGAATTTCCCTCTCTGTAAGCTATTCTGGCTGCTACCACAATTGATTTGTTGCTAACCAATGTCCCCGACAGACTCCGTCAGCGGCCAAGGCTTGTATTCAAAATTCCCCCATGGAGGCTCCATGTTTATTATGGCCTGGCCAAAGGCGATTTATGAAGGCTTTGTCCGAGTCCTAGAAGAGCTTAAGCCAGGCAGAAAGAGCCGAAGAACAAGAGGCTCATGCTGACTGGTATTCAAAAACAGGCAAATAAATAAAAACTATCATAGGTGATTATGTACTAACTTAGATTCTAACGCCCCATAAATGGCAATTGCAATTGCCGTTGACGGCATTTAACGCCGGCCGTAAAATGTGGCCGTCGTCTGGGATTGCCGTTGTTGCTGCCGCTGCCGCTGCCGCTGATTGTTATAACAAATTTGCATAATTATGCCGCTTATCTTGGCCATATGTCTGGGCCCGGCTGGCTTGAAGACTTGAAAACTGGTAGACGTTTCACGTCTGCAACACGCGCCGCGAATCGACAGCGGCAGCAGCAACAGCAACTCCCAATACCCAACTCCCACATGCAACATTTGTTTTTGGCCATTGTTATGGTCGATGCCACATGTTGCTGCCGTGTTAATTGCAACCGCAACAACATAATAAATTACCAACTGCCAGAGAGAGGCAGAAAAACAGTTAGTTGACATTGACGCACTGCGAATCATAAAAACGGACAACAAATTGATTGCCAATCAGCAACATGAACACGACAGCAACTCCGGCAGCATCAGCCACTCCAGCAATTCCAGCAACCTGCAACTCGGCAATTGCAGGTGTCAATGAATGTTGCAAATAAGGAAAAGCGCGACAAGCGTGGCGAAAAGCGTCGGAAGACGGGGAAAGGAGAGCGAACTGGGCAGAAAAAAGTTAATTGACCGCTGCCAATTGCTGCTAATGTGGCCAGTTATTATGTCAAACGGCCAGCGGCTCTTGCTTTTGGCCAGCGGCTCTAATTGAATTCAGTATCGCCTGGACCATTGTCACGCAGTTGATGTTGCCCCAGCAAACAGAAACTGCAACTGTGGCAGACCAACTGCTGCGATACAGTTCGGCAACTTGCAACTTGCAACTTGCAACGGGCAACCCACACGAATCCGCAATCCGCAATCCGCAATCCTCGATCCGCAAGCGAATGAAAGATGTCCACGAGGCGCACATGGAAAAATTCCGCTAGCAATTAAAAATATTTCCAACGCAAATGCAGCCAGCAGGCAAAACGTACAGCTGCTGTGTCTGCACTGAGAGAAATGAAGGTCAACTCTGATATTATAACTCTTTATAAATATGATCATTGCAGGTGCAACGTTCCTTATGCATCTCTCTCTTTGAAGTAACTGAGACTCACTTCTAACTACTTACCACCCCTTTCTTCGAGTGCATTCAGACAGATTTCACCTTGTCCCGGCCGCCTGACAATGTCGTCTCGGATCGATCCAGTTCGCGTCCAGCGTCCAGCGTCCAGAGGCTACTTACTCCGAGCCATCTGTTTGGCCCGCTTGGAGTGGAGTGGAGTGGATTGGATTGGAGTTCGTCTGTGGCAGCTGCGTTGGCCGTTAGAAATGCTAATGAAAGTCAGGCGTCCGTCCATCGGCATTGGCAGCTGCTGCAGTGCCTCAACCTCCCAACCTCCCAGCATCCCAACTTCCCAGCCTCCCAGCTTCCCTCGTTTTGCGGTGCGTTTTGCGATTTGATTGCATGGGCATAGAAAGTTGCACGGCTACCGTTTTTGGCGGCCAGCTTGGAACAGCTGCCAGGGGGATTTGCCATTGGTAGTATATCGATGTCTGCGGCTCTGGCTCTGGGAATGCTCTGCATCCATCCAGCATCTGCGATACATTTTCCTCAAGAGAGAGAGAGAGGAAGGGAGAGAGAGCGCGCGCGGAAATTCTGCACACGTGTCGATCGTTCAAGTTTTTTATGATTGCGCATATGTAGCTTCCTGCTGCGGGGCAAGGACGTTTCGGTTCGGCTCGCCTTTGTTTCTGCCTGCCTTTCACCCTCCCAACCCCCTTGGCAAGGCCCTTCCATCCTCATCCGCATCCGCATCCGCATCCTCCCAGCTGTCCACGTCACATGTGTGCGCTTTCCTCGCCTCGATCACACATGCAATGCAGCCGGCACTCTCGGATCAGGAATGTCAGCCTGGCTATTCCACGGCCCATATGCCGGGTTTCAGTCAGGGAGGTCGGGAAAAGGCGATATTTTACGTCGATTTCCCTTAAATATTAAGTTAATCATAATCAAGGAATGAAATGAAAACTATGTACTTTAAAAATGTGAATGGGAAAGGGATTTCAAAGGGGTTTCTTCTATTGGACTCTTCTGATATAAAATATCATAAAAATAGACTTTTCTTTAAACTCTCATGAACGTGAAGAAAAGTATGGGAAGTTCAAGAGTAATATTAGTCATAAGATATATATTATATTATTACTATTATTTGTTTAACAGCTTTTCCCAACATTTGGCAACTATCATCATCTCTCAGAGGATCATCTCTCAGAGGGGAATCAACTTCAAGACAAAGCCCAGCAGCGACTTCAATCGACGGCTGGCAACCAGTTCGCGTCATCATTTTTATGGCATCCAGCCGCCGCCGTCGAGGAAGTGAAGAGCAGCACATGGCCACCGCCTTCTCCTCCTCGAGTTTACCACAAAAACAAGGGAAATCTCAATGGGATCGTGGACATGTGCGCGGAATGCCTCGAGCAGCTGTCTGATATCTGTTCCTCGCAATTTGGCAGCGGCAACTGGGCAGCTGATAAGGGAGGAGACTCAGAACTCAGAACTCAGAACTCAAGACCAAAGCCCGCATAGATGGTCGAGAGATTTATGAGGGCATCTGAGATTTACCCAGATTTTTGTGGGAAAGTTTTAGCTTATAGAAAATCGAGAAGAAGTTATGCAGTTTCCTACTTTCTCGTTCAAGTTAGTAAGCAATAAAAGGTGAAACTATTTTAGGTAAATAAGTTATTAAGTTAAAAGAAACAAAATACTTCATCAAGGACCCAGGGCTGCCAGGATGGGCAGGCACCTTCCAGAGATGATTA